CCATGGCTAATTCATTTCAATGTATGACAAAAACCACTGCAATGATGTAAAGTAATTAGCCTCCAACTAATAAAAATAAATGGAAAAAAAATGTAAATGCACTCTGTAAATGTTGTCATACTACATTTCACCAGTAGATGGCACTGCTAATCATGGGGAAGACATATTTGCTACTATTCAGATTCCTGCTTCAACTTCCCCAGGAGTTCTGATTCAGTTTGTCTGGGTAGGACTTCCCCATCTTCTCCAAGCAGTTTGCAAGAATTTGTCAGGCTTTGAGAAACAATGTACAAGGCCCTCAACTGCCTTAAACTGGGATTGTTAAATTTTATGACAGGGCTTTCTTTTGATACAGGAGTGGGAATTAGAAAAAAAATATTATAGTCCAGTAACTAGCGGGAAAAAAAGGTACAATTTAAAGGCTTTATAACAACAAGAACTTTAACTTGTTTAAAAAAGTAGTGTGTTGAACATATTAGCACTGCATATGAAGTACAAACCTTCAGGTCTGATTATCATCCTCACAAATGGCCTCATCTCACACAAATGGCCTGTGTGGTCTTAGACAAATCACATGACATCCTCATATACCGATAGAAAGAAACAGCTCTGAGACACCCTCTCCTACTCCCTGTAGACCGGGTCCTCTGTGGCTGTGTGAACTGGTTGTATTTAAGCAGGTGGGAGGACAGAATATTGAGATTTGGAGTATGACTGTAATTATGATCTCACTTGTACTCTCAGGTTGATGATTTTTTAAACTTCTTTTTCTAGATGAATTGTACAAAATATGTCAAAGTCAGAAACTAACTTTATTGAGTAATTATATATTTTTAATAGTTTATGCTTATAGCAGGACTGGGCTGGGGGGAAGAAGGGGAGATCACTGGCAGAAAGGTGGCAAATTTCACAGAAAACCATTACATTGCTATGAGATTTCATAATGTGATATAAGTCTGCTGTTAGCTGAGAAAGGGTCAACTAGATGGGCTTAAAGATTCCATCCAAATCTCACATCCTAAGTCCTTGTTCTTCACAACAGACTGGAGCAAGTTTGGAAAATAAGTTTTTATTTAGATAGTACATTTCTAATGAGTTTTAACATAGATCATTTGTGCAAATAGATTCAATTTTCTTTTTTTTAAACAGAAAATTATAAAAACACAAGGGTCTCCATTATTTAACACTAAAAATTGTTGACCTAGTAAAGATGACAGGAGCTTCCCATGTTACCTCTTTTTTAAAAAAAAATTAAAATTTGTTTGACATAAAAATTTTTCCTTGAAATTGGAATGTATTGAGCTTTTATGCATGATACACAGAGTCAACAGGCTATTTTCAGTTTTTATGTTCATATATTTATTTATAATTGCAAATTGCATACAAATGATGTCTTCCTTTATGTAAACTGCTAGCTAATGTCACGATTATCAGTGCCATCTACTGGTGAAGTAGTATGACAACATTTACAGAGTGCCGTATACTGAGCTACTGTGGGACAGGGAAAGGATAAAAGGACAAATTAAACAGTGATTATATATTAAGACGAAAAGGGTATTTGATGATGTTAAAAATGACTGATAATTGTTTTTAGGTTGGACATTGATGTTGTGGTTATTTTAAAACATCCTCGTGTTTTAGAGATTTGGGGCTAAGTCTGTCCCACTATCTGTTCCTTATGGCCTATAAGCTAAGAACAGTTTCTATATTAATATTTTTAAATGATTGAAAGAATCCAAATAAGAATATTTGTCTCATAGGAAAATTACATGAAATTCAAATTTCAGCGTTCAAAAATAAGGTTTTACTGGAGCAAAGCCATCCTCATTCACTAATATTTGTCTGTGGCTGCCTTTGTGCTCCACCAGCAGAGTTGAGGGGTTGCAGAGACCACCCAGTGTGAAAATCCTGAAAATTTATTTCCTGGTCCTTTATAGGAAACCTCTGCTCACTCTGCCCCAGAGTTCTGCTGTTCTAAGTGTGGCCTGTGGACCAGCAGCATCGGCTGGCCTGGGAGACTGTTAGGAACGTGGAATCCTGTCTCTACCCCAGACCTACTGACTCAGAATCTCTGGATCCCAGGTGAGTCCTGCTCACAGTACAGTCAGAGAAGCGCTGGTTTAGAGGCCCTGCTCAGTCCTCCTGTGGTTGCACCCTGCCCAGGTGCAGGCTGCCAGGGAGGACCAGGGGGCGTGGCTACCTGGAGCCCCACCCCCTCCAGCCCATGCTCTGAGCACCTGGACCCCAGAACCCCTGCTCCCAGCGCCAGTGCAGGCCTCCTCCTGCGGCCCATGTCCCCAGCCCGATAAGTGGTCAAGATACAGCTGTTCAGGGCGGGAAGAGGGCAGCCTGAGCTTGGACTTGAAGGCTGGAGGTGCTCCTGCTTGAGCAGCAGATTCCTCAGGGCACAAAGAGGGTCAGAGCCGGAGGTGGGAAGAACAGGGGGAGGGCTGGGGGCTGGGGTGGCCCCTCCCTCTGCTGTCCTGCCTTCTGGCTCCAAACTCCAGGGTCCAGGAATCCCAGCCTGCTAGGTGGTTACGAAGGTGCACTTGACAATGTGTTAGTTTGACTTTTAACCTTTAAATATTTAAATATATAGGATGGGCTTCATTTATACTCTTGACCCAGGGCCCACAGATGTGAGTGGCAGGTCTGTTAAATGCTTCTCAAAGTGTTCAGAGGTCCCCCTGCGTCACATCCAATGGGACGTTGGTTAAAATTTCAAATTTCCAGGCCCCACTTGTGTGACCCCCTCTATCAGATCTTTGGGGCTGGAGCCCAGGAACCTACATTCTAACCCCTCGCCTGGTGACTCTGGTCCACAACAAAACTATAGGAAAACTTGTAATGGGGGTAGGGGGAGTGTGGAGAGGAGCAGGAAGCATCAGGGAGAAGAGAGGGCGGTCCCAGGTCAGAGGAAGCTGCCGACCACGAGCTCACACCTCCCTGCTTCTCTCCTGATTCTCCTCACAACCTGGCCTGACCCCACCCCCAGGAACTGGCTGCAGGGAGAAGCTGCCAGAACGGGGCAAGGGTGTCCTCCTGCCGACTGTGGGGCTCTTCTGGGCTGCCCTGCAGAAGGAAGGACCCGAGTCAGGGGCAATAGGAGCAAAGGGGCTGCGGGCGCCTGCAGGGACCACACGGACCCACCTGGGGGGTCAGGCTGAAGCCGCTGAGCAGGTCTTTGGGCAGGGAGACCTCCTGGTCCTGCCGGCAGACGGCTGGAGCTGGAACAGAGGCGGCATCTGTCAGTTATGATTCGAATGACGTTGATCAAGGTCCTTAAGCTCTGTGGGTTTGTTTCCTTGTCTATAAGATGGGCATCCTAATACCTTTTGAGCATGCGTTAAATTTAAACGTGATAAAGTAAAAAACATCCTGCCACACAGAGCAGAATAAGGAGCAGCTGTTGCTTATTGGGACGCGCATTACCTGACATCTCTGCACTTCCGGGTGCTCGGTATCATAGGCACTTGTCACTGGCTGTGCTCAGTCATGCGTGACTCCTTGCGACCTTGTGACTGTAGCCCGCCAGGCTCCTCTGTCCACGGGATTTTCCAGGCAAGAATACTGGAGTGGGTTGCCATTTCCTCCTCCAGGGAGTCTTCCGGACCCAGGGATCCAACTCACGTCTCCTGTGTCTCCTGCATTGGCAGGTGGATTCTTTACCACTGAGCCCGGGAAGCACCTGTCACTGGAGGATAAGACCAATTTCCTCAACCCCCCAGGGGGCGCTAGTGGTAAAGCATCTGCCTGCCAATGCAGGCGATCTAAGAGACGTAGGTAGGGGAACAGCCCCTGGTGAAGGAAATGGCAACCCACTCCAAGTATTCCTGCCTGGGAAATCCCATCTTCTGTCCACGGAGTCCCAGAGAGTTGTCACGACTGAGCGCGCACGCGCGCGCACACGCACACACACACACACACACACACACATACACAAACCCCAGGCACAGGAAGGCTCCAGTCACAGGCATGTGCCAGACCCGTGCTTGGCCAGTGGCCTGGAGCTCCCTGAGCTTCCCTGCGCAGGAGCAGCTCCTGAAGTTACTGCCAAACTGCTCATCCTGTTACAGTTCCCAGGGTTTCCCTCCCAGCAAGCTCATAGGGATGTGCTGAACTAGCACAAAGTGAGGATATAAAGAACTGTACCTGGATGAGGAAATAGAGTAAACAGAGTGATTCTTCAGGAGCAGGAGTGTGCAGGGCGTAGATGAGGTGCTCATAAGTTTGGGCTGTTCTAAGGCGGGGCTTGTGTGAAACCTCCAGGGAAAACTGGGCCACAGTGAAAATCACCAGCAGGGGGCAGCAGAATCCACGTGTCCAGGTGAGCAGCGTGCCAAGGCCGTGGAAAGAGGCCAGGAAGGCCTCACACGGGGCAAAAGGGGTCACAGGCCCCACCTCACCCACCTTATCTACAACTTATACACAGAAACACACACTCCTGCTCCTGCAGAATCACTCCATCAGTTTACTCTGTTTTCTCAACCAGGTACAGTTCTTTATATCGTCAGTATGGCAAAGGCCAGGGGTTTGTAAACTTGGCTACAGGGGAGCTCTTTGAAAGCCCAGTGCTGAAGCCTCATCTCAGTTAAATCAGAATCTCAGGGGAGGGGAGGCAGGAGTCAACACTTTTTGAAACCCCACAGGTGATTCCACCCTGCAGCCAAGTGAGAACCGTTGTTGAAGGCAAAAGATCTTGTGTCTTCCCAAATGGCAGCTGCTTTCATTGCTAGAAAGTGTGAACAAGTGTAAGTTGCTCAGTTGTGTCCGACTGTTTGTGACTCCACAAACTATATAACCCACCAGAATTCCCTGGACTTCTCCAGGGAATAATACTGGAGTGGGGGGCCATTCCCTTCTCCAGGGAATCTTCTCAACTCAGGGATTGAACCTGGGTCTCCTCCATTGCAGACAGATTCTTTACCATCTTGAGCCACCAGGAAAACCAAAGATGGTTTGATTTCTTCCTATTTTGTTACCGACCCTCCCCAGTCAGACCCCAAAGGCCAAAGGCTTCCATCTATCAGGTGTGTGTGTGCTCAGTCACTCAGTCACGTCTGATTCTTCACAACTGCATGGACTGCAGCCCTCCAGGCTCCTCTGTCAATGGGGTTTCCCAGACAAGAATAGTGGAGCCGGTTGCCAATTTCAGCTCCAGGGGATCAGCCTGACCCAAAGATCAATGCAAGTCTCCTGCACTGCCAGGCAGGTTCTCTACCGCTAAGCCACCTGGGAAGCCCCTCTGTCAGGTATGGCTTGTGTCTATAAAATGTGCTATAGAGGACAAGCTTTCTCCTAAAAGCACCCCTGGGACTGCTGTCTGTGATTCCTGTCAGCTGGGGGATGGGGGGTTCTCACAGGACAGGCTCAGCTGTGCTGCCCGTGGCTCCAGATCATAGTGCTGGGTCAGCATCTCTGCAAACGGTCCCCTGGCCACCATCTTGAATCAGTGCCGGGCACAGAGACTCTGCACACGGCCCTCAGAGCTGAGGTGTCGGCACAGCCATTTCACACCAGGGAGTCTTGTCCGAAGGACCAGGAGCGAGGCTTCTGCGCGAGGTGCCCTGTGAGCAAGTGAAACTAGACTCAGCACAAAGGGAGAGATAAAAGGGAAACTTCATTTCAGTATCCAGATTCTGACTTTACTCCCAGGGAATGGTTGATCAGCTTTATCAGTGGCTGTTCCATCACAGCCCAGCCTCCCTGAATATTAAGGGCCCCAGCTTACCTTTAATGACTGTTTCCTTTGTTACCTTTGGAGATAGTCTTGATGAAGAGAAAAGAGACAAATTTCTCTTCTATGCCTGAAGATCCCAAAGGGAAGGTATTGCTATAATCAGTTTTGTTTTTTTACACATAAGGTAACTCCCTCTTGGCTGGGGCTTGATGTTGCTCCTGAAATAAGTGGGAGTCTGTGGTGCCCCTCATTTTAGGAAGACAACCTGGTATTGGTTAAATGGGAAAGGTAAGGGCCTAAGCATCAGGATACACAAAGAACCAGGTCTGGACTCCCAGATGAGAGGCTGACACAGCCTCATCACTCTGGAAACAGTGTTTCTATCCTTGTGAGACAGGAAGGAAGGGGGCACAGATATTGAGAAAAACAGGATCCCACAAAAACTGGCTTGAACCGGCTAAAATCAAGATGGTGTTGAGTATGGTGTGGCCTCTGACCTCTAATTTATTATACCTTCATTATAACACTAAAATTCACTCCCATCTCACCATGACAGATGCTGTGATAATTCCAAGGCTGACCATAGGAAGCCAGAAGTAATACTGAAGAGGCGGTCTGGCTTCTTGCCCTCAAAAGCCAATAAGGAGGCCAGGTTGGTAGAAAGGAACATTTACTTTATTTTGAATGCCAGTATGTGGTGGGGGGGAGGGTGGGCACCTGTCCAAAGGCTGACTGCCCGCTCCCTTGAGACTGAATGGACAAGAGCTTTTATAGACAGAGGGAGAGGGTTACTGTAGACACAGCAGAGTCAGCGCTGACAGTCATCTTGAGATTGATCACTGGTGGTCTGACCACTTCATCTTGTTTTAAGTATAGTTACTCTTCAGTTCAGGGTTGGTTTATTCCCATTTCTCAAGGTCCATTCTCAGAACTGTGGCAGCTTATGTCATGGCTACAGTCTGATCATCATGTAGTTCTTTTACCTGGAGGGGTTTTCAGTACCTATAAGACAGCTCACAGGATAGAGCTCAGAATATTATCTATAACCCTTGGGAAGGAATTAGAGGTCCTTGACTATGTTTAATGACTACATTATTATCATTTGGTCTCCTTTAACTGTTTTTCTTTGTATCTGCATGTTCTTGCTTCTGGGATTAAACTTACTCTTTGGCTAAAGATTTTCAACAAAAAAAAGGCAGGCAGAGGACATGGGGGGCAAGGACCATAGGGTCTTGCTCCATTTCAAAAGTGTGCAGTGGTTCAGTTCTTGAAAATCCCTGTTCCTCCCCTGGAATAGCAAGAATATTCATCCCACTTATTATTGTATGAAATTACCCATCCCATGACAACTAACAACCTGGGTCCTCTCACCTTCTGAGAGGGTCCATATTTTGACTATGGGGTGTGTATCTCCCTGAATAAATCCATTTTCACTCTATTTCAGCTCCCTCTTCAACTCTTTCCCACAGGAACCCATAGACCCTCACTTGGAAGCTGGTCCCTGGTACTCTCACATCTCTCAGGATGAAATATTTCCTTCTCCTGCACCACTTGTAATGTGGAGGATGAAGAATAGGGACTATAAATCTAACCTGATTATAAAGCAGATAATCTAGTTTTAGGAAGAGTTCTTATTTATCTTCCTGGTGTTGTTTCTTAAACTTTACCAAAGTCTGGTTTCCACTTTTCTGGGCAAATGTGTTTTTTTAATGTATTCTGTTTTTAAAATCAACTCTGCTGTGGGATTTTAAAGGAAGGATGTAATTGGTTCTCATCTGCTCCCCAGATGGATGGCACATGCTTCGTCACCCTCAGTGGCATTCTCTCATCCTGGCTCACAGACTCTGTAAGCCTGCTGCCTCCCCCTTTCTGAATTTTCCAGACCCCAAGTGGGAAATCAGGTTTTTCTGTTTTACTTGTAAGACAAGATGATGGTATGGGAGTCTCCTCTGCAAAGCAGCCACCTCACCTGGCTTCTAGCAGGAGGTAAGGAACCAGCTGTACTTGGAGGGGGGGCGGGTTCTGTCATATCCTGTATCCTCCCTACTTTGCCCTTGCCTGGGAGGTTGAGCATGGTGACCACTGGGGACAGGGGTCGCCAACTCTCTGCCTCTTGTCCCCAGACTTCTGCTCTCCTCTGACTTGGGTTTCAATCTCTCTTCTCTGGAGGAAAATTTGGTTGGTTAAGTTGTCTTGCAAACTGTGCTCTTTATGCGAGCACCAGTAGTCTTTAAGCTATAACCTCAGGGATTCCATTTTCATTCCTTTAGCACAAGCATTTATACCATAGCAAGGACAGTGAATGTAATATTCTGATAAAATATCTTGCTATAATAACCTCCGCTTACTGAACATCCCTTCTCCATCAGAAATTACAACAAGCACTTTCACATAAACAATAACTCTGTGAGATAGTTAAACTTTTTGTTTTTTAATTTTGGCTCTGTTGGGGCTTTGTTGTGGCACTCAGGACCTACGTTGTACCGTGTGAGATCTTTCATTGGGTGCAGGGACTTACATGGAGCGGATAATCTCAATAGCTGCAGTGTTCAGGCTTAGTTGCTCCGCTGGCAATGTGGGCTCTGAGTTCCCTGACCAGGGATTGAAACCAACTCCCCTGCGTTGCAAGGCAGATTCTTAACCACTGGACTACCAGGGAAGTCCCAGATATTACTTCTTAATACCCATTTTACAGACGAGAAACTGAGTTCAGAGAACATGTGTCACTCAGCTAGAGGTAAAAGAGTCGCCCCTGTTAGGAGGTGGCCTTCCTTATTTATCTGACACAGCTTCTGGGAACCTAACAGTTTCCAGTTTTTGGAAGAATCAGGTATAAAGAAAAGACATATGTTTTAATTCTACTTATAAAGTGTAATTTACCAAATTGTTGTAAGTCATCATTAGCTTGGGGGAAAGGATTTTTTCATGTTAGGAAAACACTAACCTAAATCACTAATATTTTAGACAAAAAAAAGTAAAATTTATAAGCATATTCTCCAGTTCACTCAGCAACTAGTCCTTTTTGTTAATGGTTTTATGAAGGCATCAGGTTTTCCATTGCTGCTGCTGCTGCTAAGTTACTTCAGTCGTGTCCAACTCTGTGCGACCCCATAGACGGAAGTCTACCAGGCTCCGCTGTCCCTGGGATTCTCTAGGCAAGAACACTGGAGTGGGTTGCCATTTCCTTCTCCAATCAGGTTTTCCATTAGGACTCCATAATTTCTTACAAAGTTTAGCTTGTGGTTTGAAACTTATCAGAAATCTGTACTTGTCAAAAGTCCTTCCCATGAATCTTCTTAAAAATGAAGCACTTTTACAAACACATGAGTACAGCAACTGTCTGTATGATTAAAGACTTCTGCATACACGTGCATGCCGTATAGGTTAATAAACTGTTTTTCTCTTGTTCAATCTGTCTTACATCAATTGAACTTCCCAGGCCCCAGTCAGAGGGCCTAGAAGGGTAAAAGGAAAAAGAATTTTCTCCTCCCTTACATGGTAAAATATACACAACACAAGTGAACTATTTTAACCATTTTTAAATGTACTACTGTGGGCATTGATTATACTCACATTGCTGTGGAACCATCACCACAGTCCATCTTCAGAGCTTTTTCATCTTCCAACTGAAACTCTATGTCCATTAAACACTCCCCACACTGCCCCTCCTCCCACAGCAAATACCATTCTACTTTGTGTTTCTATTAATTTGACTGGTCTAGGCTCCTCATATAACTGGAATCACAGTATTTGTCTTTTGGTGACTCTACTTCTTGACACCGTGTGTGTACTAACCAATACTAACCAATTCTCCAACTCAGCGGACACAACTGTGTCCTGCAATTTAAGTCAGTTCTGACACTATCTGCCTGGAGTTACTGTTAGACCTCATTGTGGGTTAAGGACTCAGTCCCACAAGACTGGCCCTTCTCAACTTCAGAGCCAGTCATGAGTCCAGGTGGTTACCTGTTCTTCTTATGAACTGATCATAAATCAGAGTTCCCATAACCCTCTCCTTGGGTTTGGTAATTTTCTAGAGTGGCTTACAGCTCAGGAAAGCAGCTTACTCAACTAGATCACTAGTTTATTATAAAAGGATTCAAGTCAAGAACAGCCAGATGGAAGCGATGGAGAGCAAGGTAGGGGGAGGGGAGGGGCTTCCAGGGATCTCCAGGTGAGTCACCCTCCCAGCACCTGCTCAGGTTCACCAGCTGGGAAGCTCTGTGAACCTCATCCTACTGGTTTTTTATTGAGGCTTCAAGAAACATACTTAGGCAAGGTTGAATAAAGCATTGGCCATTGGTGGTTGAACCATTTCCAGTCCCTCTTGTTCCTGGACTTGGGAGGTGGGCTGAAACTGCCAAGCCTTTAATCAGGTGTTTGGTTTTTCTGAGAGACAGATGCATTCACTAAAACTCAGGTGTAGTTGAAAGGGGCTTGTTACAATTATCAAGATACTTTTTCTCTCTTACCTTAGAGCACCTAAGGGTTTTAGGAGTTCTGTGCCAGCAACAGCATGAAGACTAAATAAGTATTCTAAGTCACAACATAACAGTCTTCAAAGTTCATCCATGCTACAACACGTGTCAGAATTCCCTTCATTTTTAAGGGAATAAACACTGTATGTTTATACCACACTTTATTCATTCCAGAAATAACACTTTTGAATGCACTTATTTTCTTCATATATGTTCATATATGGGAAAAAGGTTTGAAGTTCTTTATTTCCCTCTTGTACTGATACCCACTTATTGGCTGATTTAAAATTTATTTATTTGAGGGATAAACAAAGTAAACGTTGACTTCTCTCTGTGCTCAGGTCACTGCTGAGTAACTATCCTTGATGCCAGGAGAAGAGTGAGCTGTGGTCTTTCCTTTTCCCTCCTTTTATCAAAACAGGATTCCTCAGGGCCAGCCTAGCAGACACTAGGGAGCCTGGGGCTGTCATCTAAGTAGCCTGGCAGCTTTGTGCCTGTGATCAGTTCTCACCTCCACTGACCAGCACTGGCCACTAGCTCAGGGTATCTCGCGGTGGGGTGGGGTCTATCCCAGGAAGGCCCCCCAGGGTCCCGCTGCATTCCAGTTGGAGACCTTCCCACAGCGCCCTTGCTTGGTCTTGATGAGGGCAGCGTGCCCGGAGGGCGGGCTGCTATCTCCTTCTGCCAGCTTTCTCCAGGTCTTCACCACAGCTGAGGGGCGTTTCTGCAGCAGCCTGCCCCTCCCTCTCCACCTTCTGGGTGGGGGTCCGGGCTCAGAGCGCGCCCTCTGGTAGAGTTTGCAGCCCAGTGCGGGGCGCCTGGGGTCCTGCTCCCCGAGCCGTGAGGTTCCCCCACCGCCTCCATCAGCGGCACCTGCAGCCTCACCTCACACCTGCGTGTGGCCCCGGCTGCCCTCACCCCACGGCCCTCGGCCCGCTCGGGTCCAGGCCAGCAAGATGCAGCCGGTGTCCCCTGAGGAGAAGCCCAACCCGCCGCAGAAGGCAAACGTCTGCTCGCGGCTGTTCTGGTGAGCCCCCGCCTGGGCTGAGACACCCCGCCGCCTCAGGGCCAGTGCCTGACGCTGCTGACCCCTCTCAGAGGCTGAGGGTCGAGGGTCAGGGCGAGGGAGCGCTTTCCGATGGCTGCTTGTAGCGGGTGGGGTCTCCCCACGCCGGCCGCGGGGGTCTCTGTCTGCACCCTCTGGGTGGAGGGGTAGCAGGAACGGGAAGAGGGACCTGGTGGCGGGGCGCAGGGTCTCCCTGCCTTGCAGCTCGCTGCCCCGTCAGCCTCCTTAGTCCCGGGGGAGCAGGAGGGGTAGCGGGAGCAGGAGGCAGGGAGGCTGAGGACCCAGGCTGCCGAGGGGGGTCACCACCAGCTGGAGAAGGACTGGACCCCGCACCTCCATCCTTACTTAGCCGGCTTCCCCAGGACAGCTGCGGACTCGTTGTTCTGAAGTAATTCACACTCTTTCCCGGCTAATCGAACAGCCCTGAACAACTTTCTTTATCTAATCATGCTCTGCTCCTGTTGCCATCTGCCAGTAATGTCCCCAGCTTTCTCCATATTCCTGAGGTGACAGCTGAGTTCCAACACACCGGGCTCCCTTGTCACTGTGTCTATGACCATGTCTCCCTCACTCCCTCTGTGTGCATCTCTCACTATATTCCAGTATCTAGTTGTGACAAATTTCATGTGTGTAAAAAAACACTTTTTAAAAAATGAACAGGGACATGATTCTGGAACCCATTTTGCTTTAATCTGGGATACATTGAGAGGACTGAAAGATGTATTTGACCAGCCCCTTTTCTTACTGTGAATCTCTATTTCCACTTTTGGGAGTCACCCTGGGGATGGGGTCCCTGAAGCCTGTGGGGTCTTGTCTGCATCTCTAGCCTTTCCAGAAGTAGTGCATGGTCTTGATGCAGGTGGTCCTGCCCAGGAGTCCTCTGGTTCTGAAACCACTGAGGGGCCCCTGAGCTGGGAGGAAACACACAGATGAAAAGCAGCTCAGAGAGATGAAGCTCTTAACTGAAGTTTTCCGTCTAGTAGTTGGGACCACTAATTAGGTGGGCCGGAACCTTTGGGTTCAATCACACTTGAGTGATTATTATATCTTTCGTTTCTGGACCCTAAACCATCCATCTTTTCCACAAATTCTGATATTTCCTTTTCTTCCTATGGGAGGTCCTTGGGGATTTCCAGGAAACAGAAGCTTCTGTGCTTGTTCTGATGGTGGTGTACTCAGTGTGTGTAACTACATCTCTTGGCCATTTGGTGGCCCTTAAGGAAAGAGGGTCAAGAAGAGAAAATGTGGGTGTAGGCTTCCTTGTTGGCTCAGTGGTAAAGAATCCACCTGCCATAGCAGAAGACCAGGAGACGTGGGTTTGTTCCCTTGGTAGGGAAGATCCCCTGGAGTAGGGAATGGCAACCCACACCAGTATTCTTGTCTGGGAAATCCCATGAATAGAGGAACCTGGCAGGCTACAGTCCATGGGGTTGCAAAAGAGTCGGACATGACTTAGTGACTAAACAACAACCACAATAAATAATAACAAAGTAGGGATACCTCCCTTTAACTTCAGACAGGGCAAGGACCTCTTCAGGGCAAGGCATGCTCTATTTGTGGATTTTCAAAATGTATATGCATGGAAATGGGAATGTGAGGACTTCTTATTGATTTGGGTAGGCACCCATTTCCAATTTTTCTGCTGGAGTGGAAGGAGCTATTACCTCTTATTTAACATGTGAAGTCCCTGAAGCAGAGAGATTGAGTAACTTTTTTAAACTTTTTATTTTATAAACTTGTGGCTCAGCTGGTAAAGAATCTGCCTGCAGTGTGGGAAACCAGGGTTCGATCCCTGGGTTGGGAAGATTCCCTTGGAGAAGGGAAAGGTTACCCACTCCAGTATTCTGACTTGGAGAATTCCACGGACTGTATAATCCATGGAGTCGCAAAGAGTCAGATATGACTGAATGACTGTCATTTTCACAGCCGATTTACAATGTTGTTATAGTTTCAGGTGGACAGGAAAGGGATTCAGCCATATATAAACATATATCCATTCTGCCCCAGATTCCAAGAGGTTGACCAGGTTGCCTACCAACACACAGCTACTAGTAAGAGCTGGATCCCAAACCAGGCAGTCTGGCTTCCGAGCCTGTGTTGTTGTGGATGTAACTGCAGTACTGAGCTGCTTCTGTTGAGATCCTTGTTCTTAAATGGAGGGAGAAAGTGATTCCAAACACACCTTTGGTCTTGTAGGTGGAGTTTCTCAAGGGAAGTTCTTAAAGATCTTGTTGTTGGAGATGATACACGTGAAACGTCTCTATTATCAAGCTTTAGGGCGGCTGTTCTCAAATATGGCTTTCAGACCTGCAGCATCCTCCTCACCTGGAAACTTGTTAGAAATTCAAATCACCACCCCCCTCCCACCCCTGCCCCATGCTCCTTCTAGACCAGTTCTGTAAAGTTAGAAATCCTGGGGATGGGTTTCTCCAGGAGATTCTGATGGAAGGTAGAGGCTGGTTTCTGCTTTAAGCCGCTCCTCCCATTGGCATTGTTCCTTCAGTGTTAACTTTTAAAAAGGGATCCAGACTTTGTGAAGTTAGTTGGTGACCACAATTGCCATCCTGTATGTAAAGTCTGAGGTGCCCTCTTGATTTCCTCGTGTCCCCCACTCACTGTCCTGGGAAATTGAAATGAGCCCAGGCAGCAGTGCTGCCCAGAGACAAGGCCAACCTTGTATAGAAAAACTGAGTTTTCATCTTCTCATTGGGTGTTGCTTTTCTTACATTTCATCTGCTTTCTCAACTTGTAAATGATGCCAATAACTAACTTATTGTCTTTATACAAATGACCTCACTGAGGTTTTAGTGTTTTCACAGCACAGGTAGGACTTAGAGTCTACAAGAAGGCATACATTATGGCTACTGGTAATTGTGAATTTTAAAAAAGAATATATATTTTTCTATTTCTATAAAAAACTTTATGGAAGAAGAAGGGCATCTCAGGTGGCCCAGACGTAAAGAACCCACCTGCCAATGTGGAGACACAGAGACGTGGGTTTGACCCCTGGGTCAGGAAGATCCTCTAGTGTAAGAAATGGCAACCCACTCCAATACTGTTGCCTGGAGAATCCCACGGACAGAGGAGCCTGGTGCGCTACTCTGCAAAGAGTCAGATATGACTGAGCACATAGAAGAAGAAGAAGAAAAAGAAAGGAACAAGGATTTTTTTTTTTTAAGCCAGGTATACTTGCTGATATTTTGGTTATTTCTTAGTCTTTCCCCTAGAAATTTTTGTGCATATCTGCACATGCACAGTTTTTTTTAATCGAAATTATAACTCATGGTTTTTTAGCATTAATTTTTATTGTAGCATAGTTGCTTAACAATGTTGTGTTATGCACACTTTTCTATAACGTTGAATATCTTTGGATCCTAATTCCTTCTTAATTTTCTATGCTTAATGTTTATTTATAGCATTAAATAATGTTCAAAATGTGGCATTTATTTTATAAAGTTTTTATTTTGTATACGAGTATATCCAACTGACAACGTGATAGTTTCAGGTGGACAACAAAGGAACTCAGCCGTACATAAACATGTATCCATTCTCCCCCAAACTCCCTTCCCATCGAGTCTGGCACATAACATTGAGCAGAGCTCCCTGTGTGATACAGTGGGTCCTTGTTGGTTATCTATCCTGAATACAGCAGTGTGTCCATGTTCCTACTAAACTCCCTAACTATCCCTTTCCTCCATCACTCTCCCTGGCAACTACAAGTTCATTCTCTAAATCTGTGAATCTGTTTCTGTCAAAATGTGGTATTTAATTGAAACTTATGCAGTCTTTCACTTTTGTTTAATACAGTTTATTGCTAATTAGGATGTGATGCATATCTATGACCATATATTTTGGTGCATCTTTTCTTTTTCCAAATTCCCAGAAGTTGAATAATTAGTGAAAGGCTGAATTGTTTTCCATTAGGTTCAGATCAATTTGCCCTCTTAACAGCTGTTTGTGAGCTTATTTCATTGTCACCTTTGAGTACCTGAATTACATTTTTTTCCTGGGCCTAAAGTTAAAAATAATTCAAAGAGTTTTAATTTGAATTTATTTGATTTATGTGTGCTCAGTCACCTACTCCAGTTTGACTGTTTGCAACCCCATGGACTGTAGCCTGTCAGGTTCCTTTGTCCACAGGATTCCCCAGGCAAGAATACTGGAGTGGTTGCCATTTGATTTGTAGAGATGGAAGATTTTTTATGTCTACTGACCATTTACTTGTGTTTCTTCAAATGTCTGTTAATAGAGTATTTTTCCTATAGAACATTTATAGTTTTGAAATAACTTGTAATCATGCATGATACTTTTTCAGATTTTAATTTGTTCTTTAGAGGTTTTAAATTATATATCATTAATTAAAATCGAGCTTTTCTTTTTGATTTCTCTTGTTGCTTTTGTAGTATGTGTTTTAAAAATCCTAACATCATCTAAATCTCTGTGTTTAATTTTAGCTTTTTTCTTACTTTAACAGTAAAGGCAGCTATAATTTTTTTAGTTTTTGATGTAAGATAGGCCCCATTTTTTTCTAAAATAGCCCATTTTCCCATTATGGTTTATTGAATAATAATTCTTCCCCATTATTGGAAATCAGTGGCCTAGTTTATGAACTGTGTCCCTCTGGGGACTGGACTGTCCAGTCTGCTGAGACTCTTCCTGGCGATGTCCCTGCTGTCCTCACTGCAGCCTCTGGGGTGAGCTCTGCGTTTCTCTCCATCCTCGTCCCAGAGCCCCAGCAGACTGGGGGTGAGTGCAGGACCTGTCCCAGGGATGAGGTGGGGCAGGGTCTTGGACCAGATGCACTTGGCCCTTCAGGGACTGGTTACATCCTTACTCTGCTGACACTGGCCACCTCTCAGTCAGAGAACTGTCCCCTTGCAGAGTGAGTGCGGATGTGGAAACTGTCACTGGTGTCAAGGCGGACTCTCCAGAGACTCTTGTCAGAGAAGCTGATGACATGA